AAAATCTCATGATGCCATTTTTGACCTTAAGTCTCTGGTTGGGACCTGGAAAGAAATGAGTATACATCAGAAATCAAAGGAAATAATAATAATAATAATAATAATAATAATAATAATAATATCACCACCACCAATTAACAAATTTTACATCAGTGGTAAATAGTGTTTTACATTGGTGGTCAAAGTGATAGCAATTCCCTGTAATATTTCATTTTTCTTCTTAGAAATACTTGAATCATACGATCGTTCGGAAAATTTTCTGAGAAGCATAAAAATAAGCGTAACACATTGGGAAAGGTGATCTGCTGACAAATGCCCAACCGATTGATTATGCAAGTCAATGGTATATGCAAATTCCAGGATCTGTTCAGGAGCATTCAAAACCAAAATACATTTATATAGCATTTAAAGTTTTCAAAAACCTTGATGTGTTCAGCGTGACCAAAGAACAGAAGATCTGTACTACAATGGATGTTGTTGTCTCTGCATTTTACAGAAAAACAAACAAAAGGGATTGAAAAGCTGAAAAAATATCAGAATCTTTTCGGATAACTAAAGAACTTGAGGAATAAAAAGGTGACGATTGGAACAATCAATATCGGGGCGCTTGGAACAATGCCGAGCAACCAAGCAAAGAGATTAGAAGAATTGGAAATTCAACAAAGATCTGAAATTATCTTGACAACAGCGACTCCAGTGAAAGCCACCAGATACTACTGGGGTAAACATTCAGTTGTAGTGCTATCGACTTAAGTTATATAGGATTCAGTCCAAATCATTTACATCTGTGCTAAGTTAAATATTTAACTTGGCCCTCTGTTTTATAGACACGCGACAGCAAGTTAAAGAAGCACGCCTAAAATGGTTTGAGGCTAAGAATTATTTGAACAGATTTTTTAAATAAAAAGAAATAAGTCGAAAAATAAAAACAATGTAGGCTTTCCTCAAAACTGAAGAGGAGTTTTGAGGCAAGAATGACGTGGTTCTACAGAAGGATACTAAAAATACCATGGAAATAGAGTATGTGAACAATGAAGAAGTTTTAAGAAAAATGGGAACGAAAAGGAATCCTTATATAATTTTTATCTTTATATAATTTTATTCTCAATATACTTAAAATCAGAAAGGAGCGGTTGAAAATTTAGAATCAGAAAGAAACCGTTGAAAATTTCTGGAACACATAATGAGTAAAAAAGGCTTGGATAATTTGACACCTAATGTCACTTCAGCCTCGTTGTGGGTTGCATATTGCAACCTTTGAGAACGAGCTTGTTCTCGGTTAAGCTCAAAATTAAAGACAATATTTTTCTCTTTCACAAAAAAATTGTTCTTGATTATATGCGTAAAATCTTTTGCATCTGATTAAAAAATGAATGAGCACATATTTACATCATCAAGATTTTAAAACTTACACACATACACACACATGCATATATGCTGCATTTCGTCTAAAATTTTTCATTTATACAAAATTGCTTAAAGATCAACGCAAGTTCTGTTTAAGGATATTTTTTTGATATTCCGAATTATTTTTCTAGTTTTCGGCGAAATTTTTAATGTCAATTATATATTATTACACAAATAGATAAAATGCCTAACTACTTTCAACTTTCATATACCATTATCAGAAAAAGAAATCTGGAACGAATAATGAGGAAAGAACGCTTGGAGAATTTGACACTTGTTGTCACTTAGTATCTAGTCATAAGCACCAAAAATTTGTTGTGAACATGCAAATACATTAAGTATTAAAATACGATGAAGATATTGACATGATTGCTAATGAAAATATATTATTTGACTTGCCTTCGGAAAATATACAATGTGGCTCCAGAATCGTTCTATCATTAGACAATTCAAATTTACTCTAAGCAATTTTCAACTGTTCGCTGAACGTTTTTTATGACAGTACTAGCATCTTTTTTTTCATCCTAAGTATGACAATAAAGCCATTTAGATGCAAGGGGTTACTGAATATGAGAGAAAACAGAGAAACACATTATTAAAGAGAAAGAACAATAAAAGATCAGGAATTAAAGAAGACAGAAGATAACGATTGAAATGACATTTAAATTTTGGAAGATCAAAGTTGACTGGTAAGCAAGAGGCCGGAAGAGAGTTCCACAAGAGATGCGCGAGAGAAGAAACTGTTAGCATAGAACTTGCGGTTACATCTAAACATTTCCACTGTCAAATTACGAGACCTTGCCACCAAATCTTATACCGCGCAATTCACAAAAATCCATTTACAAAAACCTGTTAAGTAGATTACTTGTTGTTTTCCCTGCATCTCTTGAAGTCAATATATCACGCAAGTGTCAAATTCTCTAGGCCTTCTTTTCTCCTAATGTGTCCTTTTTTTTACCTGTCTCTTTCTGTCTGTAAGCATAAGTATTCTTTTAGAATCAGAAAGAAAGCGCTGTGGTCAAGATCTTTGCTGTCGCTAGTCGTTGCTGACCTCAGTGTCCACGTTTCTATTTACAAACACTCTATCTCTGATACTGAGCACATTTACCCATAAATATAGCATTTTATAATTTTAAAAATTGATTAGCGCGAACCGGTGCGAACCGGTAGGTTGCCACCACTAGTCGTTTCTTCTTGCTTTTCTGTAAAACCTTCTCTTAGAGTTCTTTCCGTTCTCCTTCTGTGTCTGCCATTAATACCGTATCATGTGCGTATTTTATGTTGTTAATGTTATGTTCATCCAGATGATAAATCCTGATCGGTCTTCTCGTTCTCTTACGATCATCTCGCTGTACAGGATAAATAGATACGTTGAGAAAACGCATCCTTGCACTTTCTCGTGATCCTTCTTGACCTGCTTCTCCGCCACATCTTCTTTTTGCCTCCACCTTTTCCATCATTTTGTAATCTTATTCTTCGTATTTCTCTCCCTCTATTCCACTTGCCAATTCGAAGCAACCATGTGTCTATTTCGTTATCAATTTACTCTTCCATCGTATGCAGTAATTCATCAGCGATGCTGACACTGTGGCTGGTGAGAGCTCTGTGCCGACGACTCAAGTCGGAATGAACCAGACTCAACAATTCAAGTTTCCTGAGAAGCTTGTAATTTAAAAAAAAAAAAAGAAGTGAGATTTTAATTTAAAGCAATAAAATCAGGAGTAGATAGGTTCGCCTGTCGCCTAGTTTACACTTCTCCCTGATTTTTAAACAAGAGTGGAAGTTTATCCCTTGTTTCCAGTTTAGATCTGGATTTCCGGTTTCTTCTAAAGTCTTCTCGTTCTCTTTTACTGACAATTTCCCATTGCGTCTTAGTGGCATTATCACCTTGTTTCGGGTGAATTGATTAAAAAATCAATTCCTTGATAACTTCACTTATTCTTGCATACTCGATACTGTTCCAGCGAGTACCTCATACCTCCTGGTATCCTCTACCATTACAAGAGCCAGATCCGGCCGAAAATGGAATCCTGCTGGTATGTATGGACGGAAGCTGCCCATTCTTCACTTTTCCCTGGCAATAGTGTCCACAAGCGTCTCCTTGTAGACGACGAATTATTTTCCACTCTGCAATCCCTTTTTCGAGACGTCGCAAGCCTTTCATTGCTCTATCCCTATTTCAATGGTGAGTGTTCCGATAAACTAATGAATCCTTAGATCCACCAGTCCTAATCTCCAGGGCTAAGACCCAACATGCCACGCATATTGTAGCGAATCACCCTAATTCCCTTTATATCCCCCTGGTGAGATGCAAGTTAAACGCTGCCTTGTGGAAGTAACTTTCAAGAAGCTGCTTCATTGATCATTAGATTCTTAACCTATTCAAGTCTAGGGTTAACCGTTATCTTCCGTCCATATCAGTATGAGTTGTATCTCTTACTCTGTAACCCTCTATATGGAGTGGCCGGAGAGCCTTGTACAGCGTGAACACCACCATAAAAAAATCCATGATAGATACTTGTAATGCTATCTAAATGCCTTACATAGCTTTTTACGATGTTACATTTGATATGCGCTATGATCAACGCGCCTCAACAAACGTCATGTTCAATACTGTATAGAAGCCTCCTTTGTGGTTAGTTATGTATTTCTCACATGTGTTAGAGGCTAGTGTTCGAGTACAAACCAGGACTTTGAATGCTGATTTTTAAAGCAAGCAGATAAATCTAAACATTTAAGAGATTGGTAAAACTTAGTGTTCATTTATACCGATTTGAACTTGTGCTGCACTAAGGTTAGTAAAAATGAAGAAACCATCAATATAAAAGTATGCACTACCATAAGTTTAAGAAAAATACTTAAAGCGACTGAGATAGTTGTTAGGGAAGGGTTTGGTTTGATTGATTCGTGTTCTTCAGATTATCAACCCTTTGTTGGATATTTACAGACAGAAAATATTTTTGGATTGTAAGGTTTTATTACTATGTGACATCTGTCCCTCTGTATGGCATTGAATGTCGGACGATCTCTTCAAAGATGATGAGGAGCCTTGAGACTACAGAAATGTGGTTCTACAGAAAGATACTGAGGATACCGTGGACCGAACAAGTGAGTAACGACGAAATTTTAGAGAAAATGGAAACAAAAAATGGCAACTAACACTTAACACCAAGAAGAGACAGTTGACGTTTAATGAGGAAGGAGGGTTTGGAAAAACTGATACTCATGGGAAAGGTGATGAGAGAGTGGCAGAGGAAGACAACTCAATGCATAACATAGTGAGTTTGAGTAAATGGATGGCTGAACAAGGCTTAGGAGAAATAACAGAAAAACAAAGTTTATTAAGAGCTACAAGGAACAGGAAGTTGTAAAAAAACATGACCGCTTACGCCCTGAGGGGACATCGCACATAAAGAAAAAAAAATGATTTAGTGATACAAGTCTTAATAATTAACCTAAAGCTTGGGGGAGATAAGGTGGATTCATAGCATTCCCAAGGGTATTTGCGCGTAAGTAAATATAACGAACCTAACTGGATTTGGAACTCGGTTCTCCAATTAACAATTCGGAACCACCAGCACATTTCAAATAATAGCATCTGGTTTTCCGAAGCGGACACCCATCTAGGTACTGACCAGGTTTGACGTTGCTTAACTTCGGTGATCGTACGGAAACCAATGTTTCAACGTGATATGGCCGTAAGCTAGACAAGAATGTGGGACAAAGTCTAACTGAAAGGTATGAATCTTGATGAAACCCTCCTAATTTCTTATAGGACGATAGTTACAGAGAAAGTATCAATTGTCTGTGTTATGATCTGTACTTATGGATCTCAGTATTATTAAGCGATGAGGATGTTTTAAGGAAAAAAGAATCGCAAACCGATAGCTGAAATACATAATGGAGTAAGAAGGCTTGGAAAATTTAACACGCACAAGGCATGTCGAAGGCAAGCGGGACAGAGGGAAAGATCGAATAACCTATCTAACGAGCTTTTGTAGATGGATGGCAGAACAGGGAATGAGACGGGCAATAAAAAGACACACCTGGCTAAAAGCTACAAAAATATATTTCAGATATAAATCCAACTAATAAAGGTCGTGTCAGGTTGCAGATTTATTGATCCACTTTCGTAGGCTTCGAATTTCTTAGATGACACATTGTCAATTCTGATAGATATATCCGTTCTGGGTGTGACGATAAACTACATCCGGCAGCAAGGCCACTGATCTGAAAGTTTTGAGGAGCGTGGAACCACCTCTTAATTGCTGTAGGCCCACCTTAACCCAGGGTGGTAACACCTGCTAGGGTCCCAGAAAAATACCAATACATCTGTAAAGAAATTACCAGCAATACATTTTTGTAAAAGAAATTACTAATGCCCCCAAGGAAATTAAGTTTCGGCATTAAATGACCCATGAAGGAGTTGATATGCCGTTAAACGAACAAACTATTATAGATATATAAGTAGTATCCCTTGTATTTTATTTCTGTTGCTCTCAGATCATCATCATCATCATCATCATCGAATTTCCGTGATCGGGTGTAGTTGTAAAATTTTTGCGTACTTGAGAACCTAACCAGTTCTTCGCATATCTGGGTTGAGTGCCAGAGAGGTATTCATTCCTGTGTAGCATGTCTGGGAGAAGTAGACCTGGCGGAGTCCATCACTCTCTAGATCAAGCAACAACTGATGTCCTCCAAGTTGAAATCTCATCTTAGTCATGGACACATGGTCATTAATTCCATTCGGGTAACGCTCCGCCCTAGCCGATGACTTCAGTGTTGGAAGGCCTCCACCCAGAGATGTCGGGTCAACACAACACTGGCTAAATAGATAGTTGTGATCCTAGTCAACCCCACCGTTGTAAATGATCATTGACCCTATAAGTAGGTTCATCCGCCCTTTGATAGGTTTTAACCCTGCTGTGTGTCTATCTACCCTCCTTACCAGAAAAGACTGGGGAAACGTGATTTCCTTTTTCATTGCTCTTCATTTCCCTATTGCATTGTTTTTCATATGTTCATTTTCACTGCAGTATTAATTATTCCATAATGTGACTGTGTTTTATTTACTTTCGTAGCAGTCAAATCCCGGATTCCGTAGATGCAGGAAAATGGTTCCTGTTTTAGTACCGTACTTCTTATCCACATTGTCGTCGACGAAAATGCTGTTTGGAAATCAATATTGTATCTAATCCATGCAAGTTTGAAATCAACCAACGACATTGTAAAGAAAATTAAATCACAAAAAGTGAACCTTGAATTGAGTTCCAGTATTACGTTCATATCAATAAAACGACAATAATTATTAAACTAGGGTCATCCGATTTATGTCAGATATGTGTCTCCTCTTTTATCCGGGATATTAAAACAAATATAATATTATGATACGAGAAGACTTTCCATAAACAATGACTCGGTTATTCACGCGCGAATCAACGCTTCTGCCTCAGATTAAAATATCTGCGTTCTCGTCTAAGATGAAAGTAAAACTCCTCGGACTAATCTATAATCTGTGCGCTTTGTGAAATGTATTACACAACATTACATCTATCTATCTACAGAGAGAGAGAGAGAGAGAGAGAGAGAGAGAGAGAGAGAGAGAGAGAGAGAGAGAGAGAGAAATAAATGAAAAAGTGGACACTGAGGTCAACACCGAGCGGAGACATTTTTTTTTCATGTCTGAACACAGGTCATTGGCCTGAAAATTGCGTTCATGTATGAAACAGACAGTTGCCGCTCGGTGTAGACCACGTTTATATTTACATAAACTGGAATAAAGAAAATATGACACCAAAGAATCAATTTGATATTGAGCACATTTATCCATAAATATAGCATACCCTAAAACTATATTTTATCTCTCTCCCCCGCCTGCTCTCTCTCTCTCTCTCACACACACACACGCGTGCACACACACACTCATATATATACATATATATATATATATATATATATATATATATATATATATATATATATATATATAGCGTCATTAAAAAAATCAGACACCATATTTCGCTTTTGAAAAGGCTTTTTGCTCAGGTCAAGGCCTTTTCCATACACCTGATGTCTACACGCATGCACAGACAGAATATAATTCGTTTCGAAAATATGGATAGAATTCAATTTATGCTGGAATAAAGAAAATATGACACCAAAGAATCAATTTGAAGTCGCAAAAAAAAACTGGTCGTGAAAGATCAAACACATTGATGATTTATTTAAAAAAACAAATAGGTTACACAGTAAAAAATAAAAGTAGACTATTATAGTTGGGAAACACGTAAGTTATCCCATAAGTTGGTCATATTTTTTTGCTTCTAATTTTGCAACGGTTGCAATAGCAACCGGAACTGGAGCACTGTCTTGCATAAACAGGATTTTTTTCCGTTCGAATACCAGTGTCTTCTTAAGCATGAAGATTAATCTTTACTTCAGCGTCATTTATGTGCAACAAATTATGTGAGACTAAATTATTCTTATATTGAGGTTTACTGACACGTCGAGGAAACTGTTGTTTGGAATGCAATATTGCATTTAAAATATTCACATTTGGAACCAGTCAACTACAAATCATAAACAACGACACAGATTTAGTTTAACATCCATTCTATCTGGTTGGGCATCGTTTACAGTAAGATCTGATTCAATGGGAGACAAAGTCTAATGTCTATCGTGTTCATCATTGCATATTGCATGAATATTATAAAGGCAGAAATGAATGACAAACAAGGGAGAGGGTTAGGGCTGTATAGGCAGAAACCACGTATATACGTGTGTGAGCTAAAGGGATACACACACACACACACACACACACACACACACACATATATATATAATTATTTATTTAAAAATATATATATATTATTTCAGTGTTGTACTTATTCTAGACTGGTTGACAACCAAAGCTGCAGATCACAGACTGTCCTACTATTTAACCCATAGCTAGGTGGAGACAGATGGACGAACAGATTTGAGCAAGTTTCTCATTCTGAGTTTCTGTTCATTGCACCACTCAATGTGTGTGAGTGTGTATATGTGTGTGTATATGTGTGTATGTGTATGTGTATGTGTCGAGTCCGTAACTTACACTTATGTCCAAATATAACTCTTTTATCATTCCGCCGCTCTTTATGCCACTCTTTCACTCATCGTCTTCTCTATGTACGTCACAAAATATATCTCTTAATGTATCTTTTTCTTTTTACTGAGAGAGAAGAGACAGAAAAGGAGACGATATGGGATAAAAGATAAAGAAGAGTGAGAGACAGAAAGATATATAGAGTAGACAAGAGAGAGAGAGAGAGAGAGAGAGAGAGAGAGAAAGAGAGAGAGAGGGCGAGAAAGAGAAAGAGAAAGAGAAAGAGAAAGAGAAAGAGAAAGAGCGGTAACCGTTTCTTTTGGTGCGTGCTTTAATGCACCGATTTTAGGCAGGCATAAAAATGGTTTTGGTCTTTAGTTCGTGACTTTTTGCGGCTCTGTTTTCTGCCTCGACTTCCCCACTTATGTAGGGCTTGTATTGTTCATCTAAAGCGCACTTCTATATGACAACGACTTAGAACGGTTTACTTAAGATATATCTCCTATGTCACCTGTTGGTTCTGAATACACTTAAATGCGGCCATTTGTGGTGATTGTTCCTTTAATTTCTTTAAAACTGGGAGGCCATTGGTCATCTCAACCTTTCTTTAACGGCTGACCAATAAATATATGCGGTCAACGTTCTCAGAAGTTCATCCAATGCAACATTCACCTAAAGAAGGCCTTTCGAAATGTTATGACAAACGCGGCAAAGATAAATAAATTGGTTCTCCGAAGGAAATTGATATTGACATAATTATATTGAACGCTGGAAAAGAAAGATAAGACAAGTGTAGCAGTATGGAGTTAAGTCAGTAGGTACGCAAGTCAAACAACGAAAAAATATTTTACACAAAAAATTCTTATTTTCCAACATAATCTATTCTTTGTCAATTCACTTAATACAGACGTGAACTTAAATCATATTTAGAGAATATTATATGGTCATAATTTGATCGTATATATATTTTATCAATTGCATATATATATATAATAATATGCATTCGATTAGTGCGCTGAAATTTGTTATACCAAAATTCGATTAGTGCACATATAATACTCGATGAGTGCGGTAAAACATTCTTCAGTTTAACCATAGTAATTGAAAATTGATTTTTATAGTTACCGATTAATTAAAAACTTTCTAAAATAATTTTGTTTATATTCGATTAATGCGTTTTCGATTAGTGCGTATCTTTTAAAGCACAAATTAACCTCACTAAATATATATATATGTAAAACGCTAAAATTTCCCTTTCTCTCTGCCATGTGCCGATAGCTTAGGGGTAGGATCTCTGACTGATGCCAAATCGATCGAGTTTCGATCACGTCTAGTCACACTGAAGAGCTGTGATACAGCGAAACAGTCTGTCTGTGGATGACTATATATATATATATATATATATATATATGACAAAATATGCTTTCTTGGTATGCTATAGTTATGCCATAAAGTGCTCAGTATCAGGGATAAAGTATATGACGATTGCGTTTAGCATGAAACAGACTGTCGCATCTGGGTGTTGACTTCAGTGTCCACTATATATATATATATATATATATATATATATATATATATTATGACAGGGCCTGAAGGGCCTGAAGATTGCGTTCAA